ATAAGATAAACGTCTCGATATATTAAATGAACTAGCTATTTATCTCCCGTATACATTTGTGTTTTAAGATATTACTTTATTACTGAGAAGAAATGACTATATTGATATTACGATGTTATGCTTTTAATATATATTTTGAGCCTTCTGTTTTAATATTTCTTTTGTGGTTTTTGCCAAATCATCTCAGACCACTGTGAACACTGGTACATGTGTAGTCTTTGTCCACGATCACACGTTATTATGCATTACACTTCATAGTAGCCCGATACGTTTGTAAATACGATCCAGTTATTTATGACTGTTCATGCTATGGTAGAACACATTTAGTCATGTTGTTTAAAATAGGACACGTTAATTACCCCAGATCTCCATCATAATCACAGCAAATATCCGCTTTAACAGTACATCACTTTTTATAGCTGAATAATATTTATAAGATAACCCAATTTTTTTTTCCTGCAGTACATCAAAGATAACATTGTTAGATATAATAGTAATCAATGCCTCATATTGCATATATGTAGCCCATACTGTTAAAATGCATTTTTACTGTATGCAAAATATATCTTTATATTAATTTTTTTTGTTGGGGGGAGAATGCATTATTTAAAGGTTTTTGATGTTAATTCACGATTCCCTCAACTAAACGAGTCCAGGAATCTAGTTTCAACATTCAGGCGTTTGATTCATAACAATGAATCATTCATTAGTGTTAATTCGAGTTGAAAAGTCTGGGGTCTAAAACACATTTCTCATTCCAAGACCACTAGCTTTGTAAATGTAGTTTTGCCGTCTTTAAGATATTTCGATTTGACTTATTATTTCATTTTGTGTAAGACAGTATGTGTTGTGGATTATGTCATGAGTTATAGGTGCTTATTGGTATGGCCAATGCCTGTTATGGTCCAAGTGTTTAAATCAGGAACAATAAATAAGAAAAAAAAAAGTTTGTTTACAACTGCGTATTGGTAATTCTTTTGGTAATTATACTTTCCCCTCCAGCAATCATTAATGTCTGACACTGCTGCAAATGGCAGTCATTTGGAAAATGAATAGTTTAGATTACCGCAGGGACTAAATGTGAGCGTACGGCATGTCTGATGATGCTGTCTTTTCCAGAAAGTGCTTCTGTGAAAAGAGAACTGGGAATTACTTTCAGTTTTACTCTGACATTATTGTTTGAGATGTAATGACTGTCACAATCACAAAAATAATATTTAAAAGAAACTCATGTGGGCCATGGAATACATTCTAATGTGTAAAGGTTGCCATCTGCAGGCTAAAACATGGCGTAGTTACCTGTGTGCCGGCAGTTTATAGTCTAAAGCAGTGGTTCTCAAAGTGGGGGTCGGGACCCCTCGAGGGGTCGCGGGGCAATGAAGGGGGGTTGCCTGGTGATTTCCAAAAATCTATTTATTTTTATTAAACCATAAGAATTAACATATTTTATCCATAACTATACTGAAATTAAAAATAGTCGTTTATAGTTACTATATACTATATAGTTACTATAGTAGTTTATAGTTACTAGTTCTATTGGATTGCGACCCCTGGGGTAATTAAATTATATTAAAGGCAGCAATAGCGTCAGATGCATTTTGATTTTATTACATCAGGTTATACTTTCTGGCACATTTAAAGCACTGACACAAATTTAATTGGTGTGTTTGCTTCATTGCATGCAAGGTTTTTGTATTTATAACCACCTCAGAGGATATTGGGGGTCGCGAGTCACTGGCATTGTTATTTTGGGGGTCGCGGGCTGAAAAGTTTGGGAACCCCTGGTCTAAAGCTGTTATGCTCTACCATGGTATTTTTATTTTTAGAGATGATGTCATAATTTTGAACACTTTAATAAGTGAGGCCTTGAAAACAGCCCTCCTATTAAACTTTTTATCCACAGTGCTCATTTTAGAGACAGTGTTCAGTAAAGTGATTGAGTAGCAAATTTTGGTAAATTAGGTCAACTTTTGCCCCTTCATCTCAATGACAAAACATGAATATTTAAAAAAAAAAAATTATTTTAGAATAAAAATATTTGTAATTTACTCACCATTGTGTTGTTCCAGCAAAACAAATGAAGAGGTTCTGAAAAATGTAGGTAAACAAACCTACTGAGAGTATGTTAAAATATAATTGTGTGTGTGTTCCAAGTCTGAACAAATACAATTAGATTATTTGGGTAAACTGTCCCTTTAATTCAGGGGTTTTATTTCTTAATAAGGGACCCTACTCCCCAGAAACGACCATCATCCTACTGTTCAGCCATATGACGATCATATTTTGTTGCAATAATTACCGAAGCTTTGATCATGATAAACACAATTATCACATATTGACATGTTGCAAAATGGAGATAGTTTATAACAAAGTATAGTTTTATTAATATAAAAAAAAAATTCCTTCCATTTATATAGCACGTTTCTGGACACTCAAAGTACTTTACACATTTTTGGGGGGAATCTCCTCATCCACCACTAGCATGCAGCATCCACCTGGATGATGCAACGGGAGCCATATTGCACCAGACCGCCCACCACATACTAGCTGATTGGTGCAGAGGAGACAGTGATGAAACCAATTATGACATGGGATGGATTAGTAGACCTAATATCTCATCCAAAAGCTCTCACTGAGCAGTATTGAGCCCCCATCAATATACTTATTGGGACACACGCAGACCATAAGTTGAGCGCCCCCTGGTGGTCCTGCTTACACCACTTCTAGCAGCAACCTAACTTTCCCATGTGGTCTCCCATCCAGGTACTGACCAGGCCCAGCCTTGCTTAGCTTCAGTGGGCAGTCATGTGAGAGTTGCAGAGAGTGACTTTATTATACGTTTAATCATAATTCTAATTATTCTAAGTGCAGATTGATCGTATATGAAAATAGGTTACTACATTAACGTCAGCAGTGAAAAACAGCCTACTTGTCTCCAGTGTATAACAGTACAGTTTATGATGATAAGAGTTTTTTTTTTAATACAAGATCTGCATGTTACTAGTTTCTTAAAATAAAAAAGATATGTTTTTAATATGTTTTGAACAATAAGACGTTAACATCATCTAAATCAGAACATTTTTAAAAATCACCCCAGGAAGATAATGTTTTTTTTTATTTATTTGTTTTTTTTCAGTTTTGGTGGGGGTGGGTGGGTATTAATGCTCACATCTCTAGAGTAAAGAAAGGAAGGTTTATGAGATTATGCAAGAGCTGAATGTGAGCTACGTCTTGGTAATCTTTGGTGGATTGACCAGATATTTATCTGATCACATTAATAAATTCCTGTGGATGTGCGTATTAGTGGAAGCACAGACACAGGGACGCACATAAGGGGACATGATTATTACACACCCACCAGGGAGTTTCATGTGGGCTTTGAGGGTTCTCCTGTCCTGCTCAACTGCCTCATGTACAAGATGTGTTTTTATCGCTTCAGACAGGTCTAACCTGCTGGTTGACCAGCCTAATTTTAAAGAGGTTTTGGACATTTCATGGCTGGTCTGGTTTTAGCCATTTACAGTCTGTCTTAACTGGTCAGGCTGAGAGACCAGATGAAAACTAGCTTGACAAGACTATCCAAGCTGGGAGACTAGCCAAAACCAGTTTGACCAGCCTATCTAAGCTGAAAAAAAGGAATTATTATAAAACTAACCTGGCAATAGCCAAAACCCCTTTAAAACCAGGCTGGTCGACCAACTGGAAAAAAAAACAACAACCAGTAGGGTAAATTGAAGCCAAGTGTCTTCCTGGTTATGACAGAGTTGTAATGCTGAGATTGGCAATAAGGACTTTGAGTTGGATGTGCAGAAGCTTACTACATAGCACTGGCCTATCAGGATATACAAGGTCAAAGATCTTGACAATCACAGCCTCTCAAGAACGTAAACCCAGAAAGACAAACTCCCACTTTCCTTCAAAACAGTACTGTCTGCGCCCCGTCTCATGATGTGAGGGGAAACTGAATCTTTTTTTATACTTCTGTTGTAATTGCTTAAAGGGACATTCTTTTCATACCTTTTTGTTCTTGTTCGGCTTTTTAAAATCCTCAAATGTGATTTTGTCTGAACTGGGGAAGAATAATAAAATATCACCTGAATACGGGGAAAATGTTCAAGTATGTTCATGAGCATGTGTGTAATCAGCTGGCCAGATAATTGTTTAATTTGTCTATGAATCAAACAATGATATGGCCAGCTGATTGCAGAAATGTCTCAACGATAAAACTGCATGTACGTTTTTATAAAAATTTTAAAGCTGGTTCTTGTCATATTGTTCCAGTTTAATTTAAATCACATTATAATAATTTAACCTTTAACATTAATATTACCTGTTGACATTTTCTCCCTTTTTCAAGGACCCCATAGCAGTTCCTTGTGCCCTCATGATGGTTCCTGGATATCTGACTTTCACACAAAACCTTGTTCAAATTCTTGTCAGCTTAGTCCCTTTATTTATCCGGGGTCGCCACAGCGGAATGAACCGCCAACTTATCCAGCACATTTTTACGCAGCGGATGACCTTCCAGCCTCAACGCATTTCTGGGAAACAAAACCATTCATGTACGATATTTAAAATGTGCTAGAATTGGTCTAATAACCTACTGTATTTTTTTCTAGTGACATATTTGATTATTAAAAGGTCTGATAATATGTGCATTACATATAATAGTATGTCTTTCACAGGCAAACCTACTTTGTTAATATGTCATAATAGTGCTGTCGTTTATCCTATTAAGTTACAGCTTAACAAACCGTCACGTAGGTAGCTTGTGTCTGGTTTACTCTTTGCTCGAGATGTGTTGTTGCTCATGTTGGGTTCAAGCTCAGTTCACTCTTCAACTTCATTTCTCATGGTGGAAACGGAGAAAAGTTTTCGCAAACTTTTTCTGACCGCCTTTCCAGATTGACAGCCCTTCTCTCCAACCCCGTTGTCCAAGAACACGTAAGCTCCCGCCCACACTTGCTCCTCCGGGGTCGAACGACCAATCAAAAAGCGACAATCCCCCCTCCGCCATTTTGTAAGGATATAAGAAATACTAGCAGGTCTACCTCCCGTCTACGACAACCTGTAGTTTTGTGTAGTGCCATGGACGGGTAAGTTGAAAACACCATCATTCCAACTATAATATCTATTAAACACACATTTTTCGTTTGCTCATTGGTTTATATCGGTTATTTAATAAATTAAGCACGGTTTAAGTGTCTTAAATGCCGCAAAGTGAAGTGAAAATGGGGATTTTTGACTCGTCTCTGCCGTTCTTAATGTCTCCCGTGCCGGAAGAGACCAAAAAGTTCAACCAAACTGATCAGCAACCGGTTGCAAGTATAGTTTAGTTAATACGGATTCCTTAAAATACAAGCAAGCGGTTTGTTTTAACCGTACTTGCAAGCTGAAAATGTCCATTTGGGTTTGTATTGTACCGAAGCGGCAGAACAGCCACTATTTGGCAACCAACGTGTCTCAGTTTCCGCATTGTTGTTGGGTGGCTAGCTAATTACCTGCTAGCCTGCTAAAGCGATGCCAGTTCAACTTTAATCCACCTTTGGTCGTATGTATGCACGTTAAATATGTTCCAGGAATTACTAAGTTACTTTGATGCATGTTTAATTGTACGAATACATTAAGTGGTTTGGGTAAGGACGCGGGGAAGATGTCACTCATTGTTCAGAACAGATCTGCGAAAACTTGAATGTTTGATTTATGTAACGTTTTATTCACCTGTAATTACGATGGTATGATTGAGTCCTGCGCATTGCATTATGCTGTTATAAAAGGTAGCTTGCATCCTCAATAGATGTTTTGCTTGAACATGTCATTTTCATTAGTAGACTAGAAAGCGAGTTGTTAGGCAGATTGACAGGCTTCAGCCTACAATGATAAAGTCAAGAAACTTGTCATGAAGTTTAGCGAGTTTTATTTTTATTTGATCAAAATGACAATATGATTTAACCATGAATTTGAGTAAATGACAGTACTTTATGCAAATCCTGTGTTTTTATCTTTTGCAGCCGTTTAGAGACTGATCTGTATCCTCTGGGATCCAGTTACGTCACTGAAATAGAGTAAGTTTAGCATTATGCACATTTGTGTAAACTAGTGTATTTGCTTCAATATCATCTGAGTAAACTTTAAGAATTCAAGATAAGCGGTGAAACCTATTGATGCATGTGATTAGGAGGAAGAGTGGCCAAACAGGCTTGCTTTGTTTTTCAGTTTGCCTTTTATATCAGGTTGCATCCTGAAATTCAACTCCTTGTGCAACCGCCAGTTGTAGTTCCGGCTTGTTCTGTTTTGACAATTTTGGTTTTATTATTCACATTTTGTATTGTTTGTCCAATTGGGCTAAAACCCTTTTCTATAGATCATTGGCAGATGTCAGTCTGTATATCCAACTGTATCTTACTATGGGCTAGTGCACTCACAAGTTTTTGTTTGTGATATGTTGTGCTCTTACCCAACAATTATAAATTTTTTGTGCGTTGCTATTTCACGTTGGCTTGGTGATTTCTATTCAATTTCAACATTTTTTTGTTTTTTTAGGTCAACAAAGTTAACATTTACTTTATCCTTGATGCATATATTTGTTTTGGTTGTTGGCTTTTTTGTATGATTTTTTTTTTAACTTTGTAAAATTTCTTTTTTTTGCACATTGTTATAAAATACAAACTTGGATCAATAACTGTTGCTCAAAAGCATGAATTTGTAAAAGCGATGACGTTAGTTTTTTATTTTATTTTAGTCATTTTTTTTGTAATTTCACATATTCCCAAAACAAAATTACAGAAAATATGTTCTTCTATTACATGATGGCTTTAAGTATTCCGTGTCTCTTTTGCTGAATTCCCGTAAATTGTAATTAAACAATTTAGAGTGTTTTCTAATGTTTGTTTCTTTCTTTCTTTTTTTGTAGCAGTGTCCATGATATAACAGTCGGCACAAAGGTATGTAACTTAAACACAAGTGTTTGCCTTGCAAATGTGTGAAGTTGGTTTCCTTTTTGTTTACTGTGAGCATTAAGAAAGAATATTAGTCTGAGTCTAACCTATTTTTAATGGTATTCTACGTGTACTTCCTGAATTGCTGATACTAAGGAAACTGTTGTAAATGGCTGAGCCTGAAATTCTTGTTCCGCCTGCATCTCATCCAGCGACTTTAATTACTGTGGTCAAAGGGCACTTGCTGTTTAACCGATCACTGTGATAAGTGACCCAAAGGTGAAAAGTTGGCCAACACTCAAATCTCGTAATTGTTCTACTGCCAGATCAGAAATCGTCGTCTGGGTGTTTTTAGTTTCTGCTTGTATATATTTTTTTCTCTTTCTCAAATAGTTACACCACAGTGTTATGTGGATACAAAATTGCTATCTTCACACTCATTTGGACGTGTTTGTAAATAGAGACTGCCTGCTATTGTTTCCTCTGTCTTTCACGCATATGAGGAGGTGTAGTATATGTAGTCACCGTCTTGTCTGAGTCCAGGCACTAATTACCGTGGCTGGAATGCTGTGGTTGCATTCCTGTCTCCCTGACCCCCTTATTCATCACAGACTGCTCTCACCCGGGAGGCTTGCACTTTGTCAATTCATGTAAACATGTTGGCACCTGCAAGTCTTGAGCTCCTAGAAACCAATGTGGGAGTCATGGTTCAAGGCTTCTTTTTTTTTTCCCCTTCCTCTCTTCTGCTCTTGTCCTAAGCGAGTGCTCAAGCTTCAGTGCCCTGCAGTTAAAAATAGAGAAGGGAAATGCTGGAGTTGGGTGGATGTCTCACTCAAACAATGGATGGTTCAACCAGAGAAGGCGTTCCTGTCATAACTACCCTTTGAAATGTGAAGTTGAAACCTGACTCCCACAGGACTTTGCTTAGAGGAATGTGGCGCTTTTTTTCTTTTGTGGTACAATCTTGATCCAGTGTTTTTTTTTTTTTTTTTTTTTTTTTTTTTCTTCTGTGCACTGCTTATGCTGTAGGCTGCTTATCAAGCCTTAGGGGCTGTGTTTAAGGTAAACTACATCCGGAGTGTGGTAAAGTGCCCTTGAGGCTGTTCGTAGTAGACTTGCTGTCTTTGGTTAACAATACTTTCCTTTGGGCTGGAACAGAACCCACATTGTGGTAATGGTGTAAAGGCTTTGGCTTATCCAGCGCATGTGACTACTTGAGCACAGACTTGCCATTTGAAGTGGTTTATTAAGAGAGTGATGCTGAATGATTTGCTCATTGCTCCATTGGTCAGCCGAGTGGCTCCAGCTTGGCCTTGAGTGAGAGACTTGTTTTAACGTTTTAAGGACACAGCTGCCTCTGTTTGCATTACTCTTTCGTTTGTTCTGCTTTTACTAGCAGTAAACAGTGTAGTGCTCTCGCTTGTACATGCCTAGGTCAAGAATAGTATTATTCAAGGTCTTTTTTTTTTTTCTTCTTTCTTTCTTTCTTTCTTTTGTCCGTAAATTATGTCTCTATGGCAGTGGTCACCAAACTTGTTCCTGGAGGGCCAGTGTCCTACAGATTTTAGCTCCAACCCTAATTAAACACGCCTGAACAAGCTAATCAAGGTCTTACTTGGTATACTTGAAACTTCCAGGCAGGTGTGTTGAGGCAAGGTTGGAGCTAAACCCTGCAGGGACACCGGCCTTCCAGGACCAGGATTGGTTATTCCTGCTCTATGGTTTTGTAATCAAACTATTTTTAGGCACATGCTAATCTTTACAACATGACTTTCTGCAGTTTCTTGTCTATATAATCCTTAAAGACAAGCTGCCATTCCTCATCCTTAATTTAATTTTTACTTTTATTTGTTTTAATAACAGTAATATTGCTTTTAATTTTTATCCTGCACTTAAGTTGCATCACCGTGTGTTTGTCCACTAGTTTAGAGGTATGTGTTATTAATTAAAGTTTTAAAGCTCTCCTGTTTAAATCACTTTTCAGAGGGGATCCGACGAACTCTTTTCCTCCTGCATATCTAACGGACCATATATAATGAGCTCTGGAGCCGGTAGGTATTTGTTTGTGTAAATGCAGTAACATATTGGCCAAACAGATCTGTAATATATACAAGTAACAAATGTTTTTGAAATACCAAACTGTATTGAAATGGTAATTTCTGAAGGATCTTTTGACACTTGGCTGGTGTAATGGTTTTTGCAAATTCAGCTTTGCCAGAGCAATATTGTTGCATTAAAATATATATTTAAGTTTTTTTTTTTAGTGCTGAGCAAAGATTAATCTGATTTGAGATGATTTGACTTAAATGTGTGTGTTATGTATATGTGATGCGCGCACACACGTGCACATACAAAACTATACAAACATTTTGTTACATAAATATTTAAATTTGTATGTAATTTGAATCGTATAAATGTATTTATATAAATATAAATAAACAATTTATCTAATTTATTTTTCCATGTGTATTTGTACATACATGATTTATATACACAGTCAAAACACATTTATTTTGGATCTGATTAATTGCAACTAATCTTTCCAGCACTCAATTTGATCTATAAATGTAACTTTTATTATCATGTAAGGTGGCATATGAACTAAAGCAAATCTAAAGTGGCAGTTTATAATGTTACAATGTTAACCTTTTAGGGCTTACAGGCCACATACATGGACGGCACATTTTAGCTCTTAAGTGGCTATTTAAAATGCTGTAATTGTTTTTGTATTTTGTTACAGACATGGTGTCATCCTGCAATGGTTTTGCAGCATGTGAAATGTCTCAAACACTATTTTTAACTGTCCAAAATTTTTTAATTTTTTTTTAATACTCATAATTGAATGTTCAAAAACAGTCAGGAAAAAGTGTTAAGTAAATTCGGACCACGAGTCCACATATGAACATTTTTTTTCTAAAAATACACTGTCAAAAGATGAAACTTGGGTGTTTATTCTAATAAGGTTCCTAACTGACTTGACCTTTAATTGCATGTGTATGTACTATAAAATCTCCTGATCCCAAACTATTGGACTTAAGTGTAGTAAATAGTATCATGTTTCATGTTGAAGTAAAGGCATTCTCTTTCTCAGCAAATGGGAATGACAGCAAGAAATTCAAAGGGGACATCAGGAGTCCGGGCATTCCTTCACGGGTCATTCATGTGCGCAAACTGCCAAATGACATAAATGAAGCTGAAGTCATTTCTTTGGGGCTTCCCTTTGGCAAAGTGACCAACCTTTTGATGCTGAAAGGAAAGAACCAGGTAGAGTTCACTGCAGCCTTGCAGTTTATTTTTATTTTTTCTCAATAAGATTAGCTCATTTTGACATGCATCATTGTGCCTTGCCTTATTGCATTATCTCCTGACAGGCCTTCCTGGAGATGAACACAGAGGAGTCTGCACAGACCATGGTCAGCTACTACTCCTCCGTCACCCCTGTCATTCGCAACCATCCGATCTTCATGCAATATTCCAATCACAAGGAGCTGAAGACTGACAACTCGCCCAACCAAGTCGTGAGTACAAATTACAACACCTTAGACACTCAATCAATGGCAATTACTTGATACAAATGACTCCGTCAAGAGTGATAATGTATACTTGTGCCCTGCCCCTTTAATTCCCATAGAGAGCACAGGCTGCTCTGCAGGCGGTGAATGCGGTCCAGACAGGAGGCATGTCTTTGGCTGCTATTGATGGAGCAGGCATGGGGAGCCAGAGCCCTGTGCTGAGAGTTATTGTAGAAAATCTCTTCTATCCAGTCACTCTTGATGTCCTTCATCAGGTACTGACTGTCCTTCAGAAACCAAATTGAGTGTTTAAATGTATGCATATTTAATGTCTATGTAATGTTAATAGATTTAATTACTTAATGTTTAATTTATAATGTAAATATATTTTAATGTTGCCATTTAAATTGTTACCATTTTTTTCCCCATTTAGATCTTTTCAAAGTTTGGCACCGTTTTGAAGATCATAACCTTTACCAAAAACAACCAGTTTCAAGCTCTGGTTCAATACTCAGACGGAATGACAGCTCAGCATGCAAAGCTGGTGAGTGGCACAGTGGATCAATATATGAATGGATGAATGGGCAGCTAAATCCCTTCTGAACCTTGTAATCATTTGGCTTAACATTAAACAGTCTTTAGATGGACAGAACATCTACAATGCCTGCTGTACCCTTCGCATCAGTTTCTCTAAGCTCACCAGCCTGAATGTTAAGTACAACAATGATAAGAGCAGAGACTACACTCGCCCCGACCTGCCAACAGGAGACAGTCAGCCCTCCTTTGATGCACAGACAATGGCAGCAGCCGCCTTGAGTAAATTTGATTATTATTGCTGTAGTTAAATGATATACTTAACATATAAAATAACAAACTGCTTTCTCTCTCTTAGCTGCTCCTGGTATTATCTCTGCATCACCTTATGCTGGAGCTCATGGTTTCCCACAAGCATTTGCTATTCAGCAGGCAGCAGGTCAGTCATGGCTTTAATAGGGTCTTTTTTTTTTTCTTTTTTTTTTTTGGCATAATTCACAATGAGTCTGATCTTTAATTGCTGTTCCTTGTACACCTCTAAATCCAACACCAATTTTTTTGTGGGGGCTATGGGATCAGCCTCAACGGCCACTTGCCTTCCAAGGCACATCATCTTATAAACAAACATAAACGGAGCACTGAAGTTGAGGGCTTATTTCCATATGACAGCCTGCTACATCAGTCTTCCGTTCGTTCATTTGCACATTTATTATACATTGAATAAAATGTGAAAGGCCAAACAAAAAGGGAATGGATCTGTGCAATTAATCAATGAGTTGATCTGTAATATCTGCAGTGTGAATGTAACCATATGGCTTGAACCAAAATGGCACCAAAGTATTGAATTGTACCAATTTTTAAAACTACCTAACACAATAGTATGGTACCAGAAGGATAAAGATGCACTGCAGAAAGATGGTTGTGATTTGTATTATGGGGTCATATTTTGGCAACTCTCTGTAATCCAATGTCAGTGCAAAATGACAATGTTGAGGGTTTCACTTTAGGTTCTGTGTGGTGTAATGATGGCTGTTTCCCCCCCCACAGGTCTGTCTCTGCAGGGTATGCCTGCTGGGGCTCTTGCTTCACTCTCTGTTCCTGGTGCTGCGGCAGCCGCTGCTGCAGCAGCTGCTGCTGGACGCCTCGGTCTCTCTGGTCTCACTGCTGCAGGAAACAGTGTCCTGCTGGTCAGCAACCTTAACCCTGAGGTTAGTGCCTTTTTAAAAAATAGGTTAGTCATTTTTAATTGTTAGTTCCTTAGTTTTGTGGTTCTTGTCTAAGCAAGACCAACTCCCTTTCAGTTGCTGAAATTGTAAAAACAGTTGAAAGAAACATGAAATGGATGGCACCTGGTTATGAATTAACAGGATTCTAGTTTGAATAGCTATCATGTAATGTTTTACTACTTGGCAACTCTGATTGTGTGGAGGCTCATTTGATTACTGTACAAACTTGCACATCAACCGTTTCTTAATATTTGTTGACTCTTGTCTGAAGCCATCTGAAGCATTTCATTTCTAGTATTTCTTTAGTGCTGTGAGTATATATTGTTTCTATCTTTCCTGTATTTCATTGTTAATCTTCTCTCCTTTTTCTTTTTTTATTTCCTTAGTGTTCCTATAGTAAAATGCATTTAATTTAGCAAGTTCTGCTGACTGGAACACTACATTTTTCTTTGTGTATACTGACCTTGTTTTTTTTACTTCCTTTTTCTTGTTTCCCTCCCTCCCCATTCCCCTTCCCCTTTTATTATTTTAATACTTTGACCTGGAATCTTTTGCCAACTGACTGTTACACTATTTTATTGCACATTTTTAAACCCCCTACCCAAACAATATTGTTCGTAATTCACCCCAATACTGGATGCATACACATTGTTTATTCTATTGTACAACAAACACACAACAACAACATCCCCCAACCCACCACCACCACCACTACATTTTTGGATATCCTCCTCCTTTACCTCTACCCTTCCCCCACTTTTCCATCATGAACAATATCACCCACCTTCATGATCCTACCACCGTTTTTCGCCATTCCTGTGGAACTGCCTCGCTGTGGACATGTTCAACCTCCACTGTCCTGCCTCCGATCTTTTCCTGTCCCTTCCTCCCTACGCTGCCTTCCTCTGCTGTCTTAAAAGAGCGTTACGCCCCAATGCCTCTTTATTCTTTTCGGTATGTTATCATTGGCATCTCCTTTTTATTACCTTTTTGTTTTTCATATTTTAACTCCATCTAAGATACGTACTTTGATTTGCTGGTTTATGTGAAATGTGGTGTTTTAGACTAAATGCAGCCTTTTTGGGCTCTTATTTGGCAGTTTCTAAATATTTATTGCAAATGGCCAAATTGTAACAATGTGCTCTTTATCAGTTGTTTACTTTTAGCTAATCTTGGCCACTTTATGATCCGATTCCACAGTCCAATTTGATAGCCTGAAATGATTACTGTTTTTTTTATATTGTTAGATGCCCTAACTTCTCAACATTATTAGATACTGCATTTAATAGTAGTTAGGTTTATAATTGATTTATCTTTTTTCCATGTATGTTTTGCCAATCATCAGGGCTAAAGTACAAATTTTTCCTAGTTGTAAATTTTTAATGTAATCAGATAATTACTTTTGAAATAAATCATTGCAAAATCAACTTATTTTGTGGATGTTTTAAGTTAAATGTACTAGGTGAGTTAGAGTAGAGGGCTAACATTTAAAAATGTATGTCCATTTCCAGCAGTAATGCATGCCTTAGATGGCCATAAAATAACTTTTGTATAGATATATCAGTGTAAATGTGATTGGCTGAGATGCCCAGTCATACTCCAGTCCTGTTCTCATGTAGCTACTTTAATCTTTTGGTAGGTGTCTACGGTGATGTCATGAGAGTAAAGATCCTGTTTAACAAAAAGGAGAACGCTTTGGTGCAGATGTCTGATGGAACCCAAGCCCAACTAGGTATTTCTCACAGTTTCCATCTTTGCCTTTAGTACATCTCATCCAAGGAGCTTGATTTGCATTCCACACTATCTTGTCCCTTTTAGCCATGAGCCACTTGAATGGGCAGAAGCTGTATGGCAAGGCTTTGCGGGCGACTCTTTCCAAACACACCACGGTGCAGCTGCCGCGTGAAGGCCATGAGGATCAGGGCCTCACCAAGGATTACAGCAACTCTCCTCTTCACCGCTTTAAAAAGCCAGGTTCCAAGAACTACTCCAACATCTTTCCGCCTTCCTCAACTCTCCATCTCTCCAACATCCCGTGAGTCCATTGAACTTGCACAGATCTGTTTGGGAATCCCTAGCAAGACCTTAATTTGCTTGATTTTTGTGGCATGATCTATTGCAAGGATGCCCAAACTTTTTCTCATAAGAGCCAAAAATCAAACTTTGAGGCTAATGGGCCCAAGGTAAATATAGTTGCCATGGGTAATTTCCTAATTTATTTAATAATGTTTAAAAAAATTAGTAGAAACATTGCTTTATATTAACCAACACAGAATATTTTTTGCATTTTATAATGAACTTATTACAGTCAAAACAAAATCATCTCTTTATAATATTTAAGTGCACTAGATTAGCCTTGACTTGCTTGCTGATGTCACTCTTCATAGTCCTCTATTTATCGAGTTAAAGTATTTCCGTTTTACAAACTCCGATTCATTTACATTCAAAACATTTTAATTTTAGTTTGCTTTTTTGTAGCTCAGCAATAAAGTAAACAAAAAAAAAGGTTACGTCAAATTTGAAATGACTATCTGTTAAAGGCATTTGCCCCAACTCTCCATCATTCTCAGATGAGATGGTGGGTCAAATCAAAGGTTGCATTGGGCCTACTTTGAACATCTCTGGTCTATGGTGTTTGATTTAATTCTGCAAAACAATTTAAACGCTGTTAAATCAAATACTCTGAGGTTTGGAACTTTTAGTCAAAACTGACATGGCATTCAACCAGAACAACCGTATTCAATGCCAATTTTTTTTTTTTTCTCTTCGCAGTCCTTCTGTCACTGAGGATGATCTCCGAGGTTTGTTTCTGAGTTCAGGAGCTGTGGTTAAGGCCTTCAAATTTTTCCAGTAAGGCTTTCTCCAGATTTGATTTGGACAAATGTAGTGGTGATGAATCTTAGCAGTTTTAAAGCACTGTGTTGATCCTTTCAGGAAAGACCGTAAAATGGCACTCATCCAGCTGGCCTCTGTGGAAGAAGCAATTGAGTCGCTGATCAAGTTTCACAATCATGACCTGGGAGAAAACCATCACCTCAGAGTCTCCTTCTCTAAGTCCACAATCTGATGGAGGCGCTTTTGGTTTCAAGAAGGTGTAAGGACTGTCACTTTAGACCAAACTTTTAAGCCTTCCACAATTTATATCACTGTGGACAAATGTTTTCCACAACACACACTTCATCATTCCTTTTTATTAGATCTATATTCACATATCTATTTCTTTTTGTCATTCCACTTTGAACCAGTAGACAAGAGGAACTCGTCAACCCAAATGTGACTTGGGTTTTAATAGTACCTTTTTCCTCGACGGTTTGTCTCGTAATTTAGTTTATCTTTGGCACACATTGGTTTTGGATCATAGATGCTGCATAGTTTACACTTGTGCCTCTGCGGAAAGCCGCACTCTTTCAGGTTGCACTCAAAGCCTTGTTTCGTTTGTTTGAATCTGATCGGTCCCTGTTTGCCTTTCCACAACAAGCATTTGTGCCTTTACATTGTGCTTGAAGAATATCTTAATTGCCATCATAATTTCATGATGTTTTTGGATTCTTTTGCAAGGCCATTAACCTCAACATACAAAAAAAAGCTCTGGTGTTGCCAGGTAGTCTGTTTAAATTTGACTATTGAAAACACCAGAATGTTTTCCTGCGAAAGGCAGCAATTTGGTTATATACAGGCTTTAGTTTTGTACCTTGCTGTCACAGCTTATTTTGCATATAGTTATTCTATATATATAAATATGTGGTTCTACTCTTTATCTACCGTGTGTAAGAGATATTCTATAATCTATATAGTTTCATTCCATATTGTTTAAAAAAAGAAAAAATATCGCACATTTCTATACTGTATAATCTGTTTGGGCATTGTCCCACTGCACTCTGTGCCTAGATGGTGATAGTCTGTTAAGTTTGGGTACAATTTCTATTTTTTCCACACTTCCCTATTGCCTTGCTTCTTATGGGTTTTTATCAATAATGAAACCTTGGAACCAAACCAGACTTCACAACCTTTTGATTTTTGTTTTTATAGTAATTCTACGTGTGACAATGAATCAGATTTGTTTTTCTATTTTCTAGAGTTAACAAGTGTAGCTTGTAAACTAGGACCTCCCAGAGATGATTGATTTCGTTTGTTTCTTCTGTAAGGTCTTACGGTCACTTGCCTTTTTATGTTAAAGAAATTTAGCATTACAGAGTCTTAAGCTCCTGAGTGATACTTTTTGGTGAACCAAGACACCTGTGACAAGACTTTGGGCTGTTTTTGGCACTTCTTTATGTGGGAGGGGGAGGACATTTTAAGACTTTTAGTCTTTCCTCTGCATCCAGTTTCATGTTGACTGTAACATGAATTTCAATGTTCGGATATTTCTTTTCAGCTTATTTCTGTAATTGATGCTAAAGAAATCTTTCCATGTCAGTTTCTTTTAGCAATCTAACAAAATGTTTTGCGGTTGGGTGGGTGGTGTTTTTCTTTTTTTTTTTTATTACAGAAGAGTAGCATGATGGACCAAAGCATCTTTATTGTTCTGCCAGACACTTTATGATCTTTCTTATTGAAGTGTATCATACTGTGCAGCAATATTTTTTTATGAACGACTTTGATTTCAGTGGGTAGTTTAGAGGGCTTATCTGTATATTATTGCCACTTTTGTTTACAAAGAGCAACAAGTCCTTAAAAAAGAAAAAAATATTACAAATTCTAAACATTGTGGGCTATTTTTGGTCCTGAAGTATGTGTATCATGATGACTTCTGTTGTCCGAGAACAGAACCTAAAACTAAAGTCTTAAAGTCGCGACAGCTCTTTTGTCTTATCCTACTTTTTTGTTTTTCCAGTATGGATGTAATGTTCAGCAACAGTGGGAGAGGACTACTGTATATAATTATTTGTGTTTTGTACGAGTAATTGCAAATCAACAATTTCTGTCAAACATGTATATTTTGATAAGCTTACAGCAGACATTCAGCTCATTGTAGAGCCTTCCTTTTTTATTACACCATATTAAAGAGATTCCAACATGTCGTCTCTTGACAAGTAATTGCCCTCTTGTAAACATAACCTTCTTCTGATCTAGATGCTCATACTTTTTTATGTCTTCAATAAATCTTTCTTTTTCCTGCTTTTCACCTATTTTTGTCTTTTATTACTATTTTTAAGTTCTTAAACATCTTTTCATATTCTGTTTGCTGTTTCAGTCATGTGCTTAACACTCTTCTCTTTTCAGTTTTCCTGCATTTGGGAAAAGTTTTGTATTTACTAACTTGTTGTTCTCACCATCTATTTGCTTTTAAGATATAGAATGAAGAGAATTTTGATGGAAAATTAAAAAAGCTTGTGGAAGCAACCTCACGTAGCTCAATTAAAAAAAATAGTTTGAGCTTTAATGGAAAATTGTTTATTAATTATTTGGAGATCTAGTCCTAGAACCTGAAATATAACTTGAAATGTACAATTCATCCCACTGCTTTCCAATTTGATTTGGATATTCTTTTTTTGTGTCAGACGTATTTAGGCGGATTATATATTTGTATGTTTTAAATGTAAGCCCTATGCTAATGCATTACATTTAAGTAAATTGCATGGAGGGTGAGTTGATTAGGTCTTTATAAAGTAGTGCTGCGTCTTGGACAGCAGGTGGCGCACTAGCTCAAGCTTGAAAAGTGGGTCATTCTCAGTATTCAGTTGGGGGTTTTATAGTTGTGGATAAATAAGTTGATTTTATTAAACACAAATAAAATGCTGTAAGATATTTGAGATTTTAAATTCAAAATATTTGCACTAATTAGAAGTATCACAATTCTATTAACTCAAGGTGTTTTTATTTTGATTTTTTTTATGGATTGTTTTTTAATCAAGTTTAACTACATTCAGCCCAACTTTTATAATTTTTTTCCCACTGATGGAGTGACTCGCTGTGGTCTTGAGAACTTTTCAGTTGCTTGTTTTTTATTTTTATTTTTCTTGTTTCCATCTGCAAAAATATTTTTCTTGCTAATCTGCCTATATCTTCCATCTCTTTCATTTCTTAACGTGGTGCCTCATCTTTGCAGGGTCAGAATTCTGGTTTGCCTCTACTGCACATCCTAGCAATCAAGCTGATATACATAAAATATGCAAATGTATTTCACATTCAAATACATTCAGATCCAAAATACAGATGTTCACCCCTTTAGGATGATTGCGGCATACAGGACCATAACAACCTGAAGATTGAGTAGGTAAATTTGGCCTGTGAACAATAGTCAACTTTTTGTACTTTTATTTTAATTTATTTTTTTTATTCCAAATCAGAAGTTGAGCAGTTTTTGCAAAGCATAACTTTATGAATAATAAATGAAAAAGTATTTCGTTTGACAACAAATGGCAATTTAGAAATTGCAGTTTGAAGTCATAAATAGCAGAAGCTGTAGTGGGGACTTGCAGGGAGTGACTGTAGTGACCCCAGTAGACTGCTACCAGCAAACCTTTTTTCACGGCTGAGAGCGTTGCGTTATTGAATCAGGTGAAGCAGCTTCTCTACAGCTGTGGTAAATCCATATTATTTAGAAAGTTTTCTAAAAGCCCCTCTACCTGACGTGTTTAAGTTTTTTAAAAATTCACCTCACTTGTGACTTGAGTTGCAGTAAAATGATAAAACATAACAGTTCTTGCAAACTTCCAAAGGGACTTGGAAGGACAATTGAATATATTCTTAAAATATTTTAAAGACTAGATGCACTCATTGTTTCCAAAGTACACATCGTAAAATGTAATTTGATGTATAGCTAATTGATATACCAATATAATTTCTGGCATAATTGGGGGGGACAATTACTTAATGACTTGTGCTAACACTCTAGAGCAGAGATGCCCCAAGTAGGATCCGTGGGCCAAAGTTGGCTGAATGTAGGCTTCGATTTGGCCCACCATCCCATTTTAATGAAATGTAAGAATGATGGAGAGGCTTGGGGTGTTTTAAATTTAAACTTTGTAAATGAATCTGGGTTTTTATTATGCAAGTATACTGTCACTTGACAGTATGCAAAAGACCTCAGTGAGTAAATCAGCACAAAGTCTAATGTAACTTTTTTTTTCTTTTGATTAAACTTCTTACTTGTTGCTCTAACATGTTTATGATAAAATAAAAAAAATAAATGTAAAAAAAAATCATTTATATATATATATATATATATATATATATATATATATATATATATATATATATATATATGTATATGTGTGTGTGTGTGTGTGTGTTTTAGTTAATATAAAGCAATGTTTTCTAGTTATCTTTGATTTTTTACTAAATAAATTAGGCAATTTTCTATGGCAATGTATATCTTTGGCCCACTAGTCTCAATCAAGTTTGGTTTTCGGTCCTTCATAAGGAGAATTTTAGGCACCCCTGCTCAAAATCAATCAGAACTTTCAAAGAGTCTTTATACTTTGCCACCGTCTTTCAAACAAGTACATTTTCTTTCGCAATTCATATGTTTTTAATATTGGGAATGGGGGGTCTTAATAAAAATGAGGAATAAATATAGGCTATTTTAAAATTATACTTGTAATTATTATTTAAATTAAGCTGAATTTAAAATTGAAATTCTATAAATTTTCTTACTCATGAGTTTCCTCATTTGTTCCAAACCTGTTGGACTTTGTTTTACATATAATATACCTAAGAAAGCTGAAAACCTGTACAGTTTTCTAACATTCTTTAAAATATCTTCTTTTGCGTTCAACAGAGGAAAGACACAAAACATTTGAAGTCACTTGAGTGTGAGTACATGGTGGCTACATTTTAATTTCGGGGTGATTTATCACTTTAAAAAGTAGTCAAAATATTTCAGTCTTTAGGGAACAATGGGGATTTAAGTTTTGCCTATAGCCCACGCGAGGCGAAGCTTTTAAATATGGCCAATTTAGGGGGGAAAGAAAATAAAAAATGGCGCTAAAATGCACAAACAATAGCGTAAAGGCGCATAATATGAGTGATCTCAAGACGACAAAGTAAATGTCGGAGGTGAGTTTGAGGAGCTCGCGCAGGCCCCGCCCCCTCCTGAAGGTACAGCGCCGATGATGATGATGAGGAGGAGAACAACTGTCGCGCACGAATCAGATCCGCGATCAGCCGATGAATTATGAAGAAGTGCGAGAGTCAGATGCTCCAGAAAGCCCGCATCATCTAGTCGATCGACGCTGAATATTTAGCAATTCTTTAAAAAAAACAACCCAAACAGTGCTCAAAGGCAGAAATGACCAAGGCAGTATGGGGCAAAATTGCCTTTGTTCCTCCAGGACAGGAAGGACTCGTGCAAGCGGCTTGAGATGTGCGTAGGATCTCTGCTTTTTCACCCGGAGCGAGACACAAACAACACGATTCCGACAACAACTATTGTAGCAGACAACTTGTGCGATTAAAGATGGAGCTCTGAACAACCGTAAATCAGAAAGGCGTGTGTTACGGACGGGGACGTGTTTCGTGTGTTTCTCGTGCAGACCACATGGGATAGAGGTCTCTGGAAGTTGCACCGCTGCAAACCGGGAGCATCATTGTCGGAGACGGGCATCGCACTGTCCCGCGATCAGATGATGGACGCATTTTTGACACAGCTCTAAAGAAAATTGACCCCGGAGCCCTGTTGCCACATTAGAAACAACTGTGATGGATTTCCCCCTAAAAACAATCAACTGTGTGTCGATTCTGAAGTGAGCGAGAAAGTGATGCTGCTCTGTCGGTCAAAGGGAATGAAAATCACTCTGGATTATAAGTCTTGTTATGATGCTCCAAACTGCGTGTGTACATTCGCTCAAGCAGGTATTTGAAAAGTTGCCTCTGAAATAAGCGCCCGAAAATCTTCGTTTGGAGGTGAAGACTTGTAAAACAACTCAAATGGAGTTGTCTCTGGTGGTTTTTACGGTTGTGTGTTGGGTCTCCGTATGGTCGGACGACAGGATCATCTCAGACAGACATGCGGTCTACTGGAACAGCTCAAACTCCAGGTGAGTGCACGCTATGGCAAGCTGATTTCATATTTAGCTTACTGTGTTAGCCAGCTCGTCTAATAACTGTTGAGATTCATTGCAACTCCATTATTTTCGGGATTCCTCAACTGGTCCAGTTGATGCTGATACCTAATTTTACTCATAAGTAAAACACGCACACGAAAACAAAATGTATTACCAGCGACCAGCTTAGTGCCCAGAAATGTCTGTATTTATTATTTAATTGGGATAGCCAGGGGCGGATTTAATCAATAAGCGAAGTAAGCAGCCACTTAGGGCCTCAGAAAATAAATACATAGAACTAGAAATTATACGCATAAAATTGTTTTATATCATATTTTGTATGGTGATGGTCTGACAAATTTAACTTCATTTTAATGTAATTATCTAAACACAAATTTGTCTTTCATCCCAATCATGGAGCAGTCAAGTCAGGTAAAGAGTCAGTTTTACAAACAATTAATTATTTTCAATTTTTTTTTCATTCCTTTTAGTCGTGAATTCAATTTAGGTAAACAAATAATTTAAAATGTAGAGATTTCATTAAGATAAAACATGGAAAAGGAGATTTAGTGATATTTAAAAAAAGAAAAATAAATGAATAAAAAAATATTATTATAAAACTGCAAATGGTTTTGTTTTAGGACTGTTGGGCCCCCAAATCCCTAAATCCGCCCCTGTCTCTAGCAAAAACTAGCTTTCTCCTTGTAGTATTTAATAACTATTCAGAATGCCCACTTTATGGTTCTAAACAAATCTGATTAAATGATTAAAAATATTAGGCTACTAGTAAAGGAATACTCTAAGGAAATCTATAATAAATAACTTCTCTTGTAAGCATTAGGGCATTCTGCACAAGGCTTTAAAACATTTATTATTATCATAATTATTTCTTTATGTATAGTAAATTAACATTTACTGGTGTAGTGCTCATTACCACCAAAGGCCAATTTACACCTCACAAACAAACACCAACAAACAAATGTGTTCACATTGCCCTAGCAACCGCCATGTGCAATGATTAATTAATTTACTTAATAAATCTTTCTCACAGCATTAAAATACATTTTACATGAAGCCTATCTGGTCCATGGTCAGATTCATATCATATCACACTGCTCAGACGTCCCATGATCCTGCAAATGCAGTTTAAAACAGTTGAGTAAAAACAAACTCTGGCCATTGGCAACAGAAGTAGACATGGAAAACAGTGATACAGCAAACTCCAACATTTGTCTGCGCACTGTGAATTGGCCTTACATTTAAATAGGGAGTGTTTTACATAAAGACGATTATTACAGTTGTTGCTGTCACTGGTTTTAAGTCCTATAGGGTATATGCCGAAGCATGCTAATAGGACTTTTAAATTGCCAGTAACCTGGGTTAATCGTTTCCACTGACCTGTATGCCAATGCAAAATCGGCGATCTCCACTGGCTGAGTGAAATTCGATATAATGTGGGTCTTAGATTGTACAAGAAGCACTGCATTAAATTACATTTTCCCCACCGTGTGTTTATGATATGAGCATTTATTTTACCTCAGTATATTCAATGGAGCTTCTGACGGGCTCATGCGAGTAAACGGCTTTTTGGCTTGTTTTACGTTTGAAGCAACCAAATGAATGCCAAAGTCTGTTTAACTGATTGTATTTTAATGACATTACAACATCGATGCTGTAAAAGGAACTGTATAAAATGGAAAAAAACTCATAATTACAGGTCACCGGAAGTTTATCAGTATGGGAAAAACACTAGCTCCGCATATACCCTATTAGTAAAAGGACTGATTATTTCCAAAATATTGGCACTAATTTATTGGCACTTAAGTGAAAATATTTATGAGACACCTTCTATCCAATCTGTTAAGTGACACTTTTCTCTAACTATGATTAGCTTTTTTAAATTATCCGCTGACTAATCATGTCTGCTTCATGATTAATAATATTCCCAGTTGTTCTTACAGGAAATTTGTAATAGTTATGTTTACTTGGCAGTGTTTACACTACAATGTTGTCAACTACAAATGTATTTTGGTGCTTCATTTACTCAACAAAGACCTTTTGGGGATATGAATAAATTAGATATTTTTTATTAAATTGGGGGAAATGAATATGAGGAAGATTTAAGTGATTAAAAACTTGTGGCATTGTTTATGCATATTACTTATTCAGTCAATCTGCTTCTTAAGTGTGACGTCACGTGAAGCGGCTTCCGGGTCCAATCGCTCTCCAACTGTATGGGGAGACTCGACAAATGATAATAATAAATTAGGGCATAGCGATGTAATACTTTTGTAAATCACGATCACAATATCAGATGGCCAGAAAGTGATACATTTTTTTATAAATTGTTAAAATATTGCTGTCATGGTGATTGATCATGATTTTATAATAAAATTTTCTTTAATGTGTGATATGTCCAAAAAGGGTCATAAACGAATATTTTCTCAATTCAAATTAGTAGCGGCTTGGACCCGGAAACAGTATTCCATACGTCAGGATTTAACAAGCGGATGGGCATGTGCAAGTACTTAAAGTTGCTGAGAATTTTATTCCAGTAAGTTGAGGTACTTTTAACTAAAATGGAATATTGAGTAGGGGGCGGAGCTTTCTTTTGCGCATCATTCCCTCCTAGCAAACTAACGGTGAAAGAGGGTATTATTATACAGTTGCTTTGGTAGCCCTCAGGTTAGGGCTGGGCCAATAAACAATATTATATTGAATCGTGATAAACCTATGTCAATAACAATGATAAGCTCTGGACTTTTTCACTCTATAATAATCTAAGAGTCAATCACACAGCAGAAATGTACAACAATGAAAATCTAAAAATGTGTTGATATTCGAGATATTTTGCTACCAAATATTTATCGGCCAAAAATATGTTACGCTATCTAAGGGACCCTCTAATTTTTGTGTTCATTGTTGGGGTGCTCTTTTAAATCTGTAAGCATTAACAACTTATATCGAAATATTTATCGTTATCGCTTAATATGGAAAATAATTATTGAGATTGCATTTTTGCCATATCACCTAGCCCTACCACAGGTTGATGTCAACAGAAGGACAACCTCTCCAAACATGGAGGCAAATGACCAGACTTTCATTGAACATTACTACAACAAACTATTTTTTTCTCAATTAGCTTGCACGGATTATTCACGCTAAGAATAACAATGTGAGCTAGCAAAATAAACTGTCAATTTTGATTTTAAGCCAACTTTAAAGTATTGGTACTAATTACAGCACAAAAAATTTTGACAAAATAAAAACTTAATTGGTTTAAGTATGTCACAGTGTAAACATACCATTATATAACAACTTCTAGTTAAAAGCTTTATTAAAAATAGTGTCAGCAACTATTGGAACACATGCTAGCCAAATGCTAATAGTTTTTTGCTATTTCCAATGCTATTGGGATACTAACTTGCACCAAAAGACCAGTAATGATTAAGTACTAGCCACTAATGAGTTTCTAGTAAATACGAGTCAAGTAAAAAAAAATCTGTCTGTGTTATAGATGTTAAAACGGCTTGCCATACAGAAACTCCATGTATCATTATTGCTACAAGGTCTGAGTGATTAAAATAGGCTTTTCTTGTATTTGCTAAGTATTCGTTTTAAAAAAGTGTTGTTTGTATGGACTGTGAACGTTTGTGTTGACTGGAATTTGCAAAGTCCATCAAAGATTTCTGACTGAATATGGGTTTAACATGGCTTATCCTCTTTGAAATTACTTGAGGGTGAGATAAAATAGTAAGTAAAGATCATATTTGCTAGGATTTGTCCACTGCCGCTGATGCTATCAGAGTTCGGCTCTGAATATTTTCGAAATATTAACAATACCAGGCAGAACTTGTTAAATCCTCTCTGATGTGTAGAAACCAGAAAAATATTTGACGCCTGAAGCCGGAGCTGAATATTACACAGTATTTTCAGAAGCTCTTACATGAAGCGAATCAAGAATCCCATCCTATTGTTCTCATAATGTGGCTAGTTCTGAAGAGATTCAGGATAATCTGGCTTTCAGAGGCTGACGGGTTTTGAAATCATACGTTCCCTGTGAAGTTCCTTGACATTGCTCATTCCTCTTTATTTGAAGGGTATCTGTGAGCAGGGCTCTCTGGCTGGCTTGGAGGGTTTGCTCAGGGGATGTCAGGCTAATGGCTTTTGACATGCAGCTCCTCAGGTAGAGCTTGGCTAGATAAATAAACACGGCGAAGGTGCTCTCACGGCTGAATTAACAAAGTTAAGAGCGGCTGTCTTGCAGTACATCAGTAGTCTGCCGAGGTTTAAAATATTAAAGAGGCTCAGAGGAAGATTTCTTCTCAAGCTGGGTGCATGCTCTTCCACCTCTATAAAATGTGGGGCTGGATTTGAATTTTTTTCCATTGACTAAGCCACCCTGATGCATTCAGTCTGCGTTAATCCTTATTTAGCAGGATACTTTGCCATTTTTCCACGCTTTAGGACCATAAATGTGCAGTGTTAGAGTCCCAAATCCGTTTTCCCTGTTTATGATTTCTTTTCAATTGGTAGGTTCCAAAATCTTTTTTTGTATTTATGCGAAGAAATATATATAGAGAGATTTTGATTATCCAAAAAAACCTTTCAGTTACAGAATACATTAAAAATCTAAACGAAGACCTATTTTTTTTATTTGTTCCACTTTTTTTTTTTACGAAGACAGATAACTCTTAACATCTAGCCCACCAATTCAATTCATGCTTATTAATATAGTGCTTTTATAATGTAGATTATGTTAAAGTAGCTTAACACAGAAGTTCTAGTAAATTGAAACTGTCAGTTCGGTTTTCAGAGTTGAAGTTTAGTTTAGTTCAGTTCAGTGTGGCTTAAATTTCACAGCTGAAGAGCAAATCCATCGATGCTCCACAAGTCCCAAACCAAGCAAGCCAGTGGTGACAGTGGCGAGGAACAAAACTTCACCCATTGACGAGAGTGAAGGGAAAAAAGCCTTGAGAGAAACCAGGCTCCGA